GGTTTCCAGGACGGTCGCGGTGGTACGGGACGTAATGGCTCGGAAAATGAAGTTCTTGTAGCCTCGCCGAGAGAGAATCTCGCCCGCCGTCAGTCTCCCACTCCCCGCCTGTCCTCCGCTCTAGCACCCTTGCGCCTCTTCGCCACCTCGAGCGTGTGCCACTCCCTCCCCCGTTCCTCCAACCTTCAACTTCATCCCCTTTCATCCTTCCCTTCCCTCCTGCTCTTCTCTACTGCTTCCACTCCGCTTTTACCTCCGGTCTTACCCACTCTCTGCTCGCTCGCGGAGACTCAACATTGCCTGGTGAAATATCCCTTTGCCTCCGCTCCGCCAGGCTTCCATCCACGCCCAAGCACTCCCGCCTCACCATTATCTTAAGTAAACAGACTACCTGCGCGCCGGGGAATTCCAGATAAAGTCACATGTTATCAAAATCCAACCCCTCCGGGGCCGCTATCCCCGCCGCCGCTCGCGGCCGCCCTCAAAAGCGTCCTTCTGAGCGCGTAGCCTGTCGTTAATTCCGTTAAGTCGCGGCCTTACGTTGAACGCGGCAAGCAGCTTGCGAAATCGCTCGATTACAACGACGACGACGTAGGTGCGCTTCTGGCGGAAGTCGAGTATGTTCTAATGAGAAATCCCGAAATGATATCGACAGTCGCTCAGGTGGTTCCTCCCGCGCACCACCTTCCTCCTTCTATCGTTCGTGTTCACTGCGATTAATCGCGAGATACTTGGACGCGTCGATAAGATTTCATCGAGATGTACAATTCGCGACGAGAGAATCGGAAAACGGTTTGTTCTCATATTACCGTCAACTTTGTAGTTACGTCGATGAGAAAACATTCGTATATATTTACGATAATAGAAATTTACGGAAATGCGCAATTCTTCGACTCTCAGACTCTCGTTATTAGATCTTTTATTTGATAAAACTGTAAGATATATATAATATTTAATATATCGCGCTCGAAAAAACCATTAACACGCGCGAATTATTTTTTGATGAACATGTAGCAACTGTTTTTTTCAAATATATGTTTTCACTCTGACACGCACTTTGCGAAATCGGCCATTTTTATACGATAATATATTTCGTAAGCACACNAGAGCGGAAAATTTTTCGAGGGGATTTCGCTTCCTTCAACCGCGGGATCATAAGTATTCCCAGGGTGTCTAGGCATGTCGCATGAANCCAAGAATCGTCGGTATGTGGCTTCAGTGTCCTAGCCATGGCCGCTACATCAGAGTGGCACGCGCCCTCGGCAATCCTCCTTTCCCCTTCCCCCGTCACGNTAGCCGTATATCTCGAGCTTTCGCCTGGCTCGTCCACGGAACCTCGTCCACGTCGTTGACGACGAGACCAACTCCGAAGAGCGATTCCCAAGCACTTCAGTGATTCCCGAGAACGCGCCCGCTTTCCTCCCTCCCCCCGTTCCTCAAGATCCCTCGACACAAATACCCGAAGACGGGCGGCTGGATACCGAATGCACACCGTCCTATGCATTCCCGCGAATTGTGCCTGTGGTTATGTTAGGTGTCCTATTTCTCTTTGTTGTTTATTTATTCAACAAAAACATTATCCTACACTTCGTGCAACACGTAAACAATCTCTTCTTCAATATGTTCTACTATAATTTGCCTATCATCAATTGTTCGAGATTGCAAAAAGAAATATCAAGAGATTATTTGTCGAGGAATAGTTTAGCGGAGGAACTTGAACGGTGGTTTTAACAGAATTTCACGTACTTTTTCGTCACGATTATGGCTACGGCATGGAACTCGTGGCACGCGTCTCGATCTCCTCCCTTCCTACATGTAAGCTCCCGGGAGAGGAGAACGCATTCCCATCTCTCCCTCTGACGTCGCTCTGTATATCCAAGAACATTCGGCCGAATGCCGGAGGTACACCGTGTGGTGCCGTACATTCTAATAAAAATGCGAAACAAACGCTCGACTTCTTCTAACGTCATTCTTTCAGTCGCATGTGTACGTCTCTAACTTTGTTTAAACGTATCAGATTTATTTTTGTGCTAAAATACTTGTAGATTTATTTCAGATTTTTTTTTATACGTTATAGTTTTAGTTCATATTATAGATATTTTTTTATGTGCGTATGTATAAAGAGGAAATTAAGAGAATTGGTTATTTTGTACTCTAGAGATGTGCGAATAGAATTGTTGATCTCAAATATACATGTAAAGCTTTGTTCTCAACTTCGTGATACATCAAGAAAGTCAAACAGTCTTACCTGGGCAGTAGCGACCACAATTTCCCGGACATAAACAGAAACTCATCTCCCGTCCCAGCAACAAACAGAGCTGTAAAAGTTTGACGGGTCGTAAAATTTTGGCCTCGCGCTCCAAATTGCTCCTCATTCTTTCGTCGTCCCCCATCGGTCGAGATGATTTGTAACTTTTGTTGGGAAACCGATTCTTTATCTGTTTATCAGTATAAACGTTCGAAATTTTTACTGATATTTACCGTCGCGCGCGTCTTTCACCGTCGAACATGGCGGAACAATCTAACGCGGCAGTGTCGCCATCTCGCGGCCACCTTATCAAATATTATCGATCCGATGCGATTTGACGCACCGTCGATATTCGTTTCGATACCAAAAGTACTCGCGTGTAAACGAACTTTTTTCCCGGGAAGTGATTCATAGGAACTCGATTTTTTAAATGTTTTTCTGACTCTACAATTTTGTTAACTAAATCTTGAAAATCGCAAATTCTGCATTCAATCTGTCAACGTTTTAATGCAAACGTTTGTTGCAGACATTTGACGAATTCTGACAGACTTTTGTGCTATACACATTAAAATTACGCAAGATCTTCATATCGCACACAAGATGGGAAAAATATACGAACATCGACTGAAGCAACCGACACCGAACGCGTCAATGGGACAAGTTATACTGGAGAAGTTGCGAGAGAACAACGATGTTATATTAGTACGTATATACACGCATGAGCGATAAATATGTAAAACTAAATTTTCTAAAAAAGCACACACATGTTTTACAATTATATAAGTTGTAATTGATATTTAATCATATGTACGATGTCATAATTGCATAGATATGTCGTCACTTTCTTCACAGGTGGACGGACCCACGGGTGCTCAGGTGACACACAAACAGTTGCTTCAAGACAGCATAAAATTCGCAAACTTTCTACAGAGACGAGGTATCAAAATCGGAGATAAGATCGGTATCGCCTGCGAGAATCGATTGGATTGGTTCATTCCGGCTTTCGCAACTTATTANCTCGGCGCTATACTAGCGCCGTACAATCCCGCGTACACGGATTGTAAGCGCAAGAACTATTTATTTAGTTATATATTATAAATAATTATCAAACGACGAATCAAATGTAAAATTCAATTGGTTTCAATTAATCGAAGTACTGAATACGACTGTTGCGTTTATCGTAGANGAGTTCCAGCATATATTGAACATCGCGAAACCGCGAATTGTTATCGTATCTCGGCGCACCGAACGTCTTCTGGCGAAACTTCTGTCCGGTTTGTCCTGGAAAATAGAGTTGATACAACTGGACGATCAGCCGTTCGGATCGAACGTACGCACGCTGAAGGATATCTTGAGCAACGAATCGATAGACCAACGGCTTCTTCTGGAGTACAAAGCGGCAGATGTGGGCGATACCAGCCGGCATCCGTTGGTTATTCTCTCTTCGAGCGGAACGACAGGACTGCCGAAGGGAGTAACGTTGTCTCATAAAAATCTCTTAGCGTTTATTACAAAAATAGGGTGAGTTTATTTAAGAAAAAGAACAAAAAATAATAACGTGTCGTCTCTTTGTAAATAGTCAGAGACGCAGAGAGATTTACGCGGTATATATATATGTGTAATATTTTTGCAACACACAGTCAACCGGAATATCTCGCGACAAGGCCGCGCGACAAACTGTTGCTGTTGTTGCCGTTTTATCACGGTTACGCGCACGGCACGGCGTTGCACTGTTTATACACAAACATCGTGGTGGTCGTGATGCCGAGCTTCGAGCCAAAGCTCTTTCTCAGTCTGATACAGGAGCACAAGATTACCCATCTGCCGATCGTGCCGCCGATTCTTACGTTCCTTGCGAAGCATCCTCTGGTGGAGAGATACGACTTTCGCAGCGTGAGAGAACTCATCTGCGGAGCGGCGCCGCTCGCGAAGGACGTAAGTTTTCTTCCGCCGTCTTGAAGTTTGTTCGTTCTCCCTCCGCTCCTTCTTCGCGCCTTTCCCGATCCCACGGCCAAGTTATCGCGCGGCAAGAAAAGCCATCGGAGAGCTAAGTGCCGAAGTGAGTCCTCGATGCCGCTACGACAACCGGGGCGGGAAGTGGTGAGAAAATCGAACGGAGGACCGGAAGTCCTCCTCGGCGAGTCGTCGCGTTTTCACTAGACACGACTTGAGAGTAACTTTATCTCGCGTTCGTTTTTGTTTAACCGGTTTGCGGAGAGTGTCGCTAAGAAGAAGAGAAAGTAGAGGAAATAAAACGCCGCTGCATCCGCACTATATAGCCGCGCGCGTCTCTCGGAAAATGTGAAACCGACGTTCTGTCGGCAAAGACAAAAAAAAATCTCTTGATATGTAAAACAANTTAATAAATTCTACGATAAAATGAAATAAATTCTAAAAAGAAAAGAGAAAAAAATCGTCTTAGAAAATACAATCTTTCGTTAATCTCTTTGGCAGATTGCGGCAGAGGTGAAAGCTCGTCTCGGGATAAAAGACATTCGCAACGGCTACGGCATGACGGAGCTGTCGGTGGTGAGCAATCTGAGCGCGCGCGGGGACGATGACGATTGGGAAAAGTACGAGAATCCAACGACGGGTCGACCTCTGCCTGGTTATCTCAGTAAAATCGTCGACATCGAAACGCAAGAGACGCTGGATGCCGGCCAGACCGGCGAGATCTGTTTCCTGGGAGAGCAAGTGATGTTGGGTTACTGGAACAACCCCGAAGCCACCAGGCAGACCATTGATCAGGACGGATGGCTGCACACCGGCGATGTCGGCTACTACGACGAGAAGGGCCGACTCCACGTGGTCGATCGTCTTAAGGAGCTCATCAAGTACAAGGGTTATCAGATCTCGCCGTCGGAGATTGAAACGGTCCTGCTGTCGCACCCCGCGGTGAAGGACGCCGCGGTCGCTGGCAGACCGGACGAACGAGGCGGGGAGGTTCCCGTGGCCTTCGTAGTGAGGCAACCCGGCGCTAACGTCACTGCTCAGGAACTCCAGGAGCTCGTTAAACGTAAGTGGGATCTTCGAACGGATCTCGGCAATATAATTCTTTTTTTCTTTTACATCGTACATTCGACGAAAATTTATTTGACGGCTGTTGTTTCGCAATTACACATTCAAATATAAATGTCGGACGAAACAGGATCTAACGTGACACACGGCGTCGACAATGAGCGTATGCGATGACAGCATTAATAATACTTAAACAACGCGTTAGGTTATTAACGAATTATTAGTTATTAGCGACGTTTCGTTGCGCAGCCGCATTAAACGCCATGTCGCATTATCAACAAAATTGTTCGTTATCCCCGTTGTCTCTGTAAATTCAAATAAATGGGCCGGGTAGCGAAAGCGCGGGAATATTCGCAACTCCCTCCCCTCCCCCCGTCTTGACGTTTGCATTTTAATAGAGGATCGCGGGGGCGAGCGCCTGCCGCACATACATTAACCGAATCAATTTATCTTGCAGAGAAACTGTCGCCGCAAAAATGGCTGCGAGGTGGCGTGCAATTTGTCGATGCCGTACCTAAGAATCCCACCGGCAAGATTCTACGTCGCGAACTACGGACAATGATCGCTAAATTGTAACGACGTATCGTCTAACTAAAGAAAAGGATGACAATTGAATATTTTGCGAAGTGTTTGTTTTTTTGATAAAATTGCGAAATGAAAACTATAGAATAAATTATCTCGTTGAAAAAATATATTTTAATGTTTTAAACTTTTCTCAATCGAGAGAGAATTACATTGCAGTGTTTTTAATGTTCGAAAATGTTATTGATTATTGTGTCTCAGACGAATAAGCAATTTTTTACATTTACATTTAGATATATTTAATTTATATTCCCCACACACAGCGTTTCTCTATCAAAACTGTATATTATGCTACTAGCGGCGAGAGTGTTTCTAGTTATTATTCTTGCGCCAAGCTGCAATGTTACGAAAATAAGCGAAGAAACCTGTTGCATTACACACGTCAACCAGCGGTGAGTGTAACGCGCTCTCTCTTTCTCTCTGTCTCTTTTGCCCGCGTGCTTCATCAATATCTGACTTGCTTTCTTTTGTCTCTGAAGTAGAGCTTCTTATCAATCTAATATATACCTTACTCATTGTGTTTTTAAAAGAAATCCAGACAATATCACTGCACAGAGTTAATACTCTCTCGCTCTCTCACTCTCTCTTTTCCTCCGTTTCTTTAAATAAATAATAAAAATCGAAAAGTTTTTTGATTTCAAACAGATTTAAGAGTGCGAGGTAACATATGAATTAGATATCGCACACATTTTTAAACAATTTGTTGTACAAAAGCGTAAGTTTGTTTTTTCTAAAACTATTTTCAGTAACTTTCTCAGCAAGAGGAGACTAATTGCAAAACGAAGAATTGCTCGCTCGTCATCCCGTTCGACACACATTTGTGAATAGTAATTGGACATAATGGAAGCGTCACTTAAGCGGGAATAGTTAACTGTTACCGGAAAAGTGCGGAATGAATTCCGACGATTTCGACGAATCAACGGGATTATCGATGTCCAGTATTGGAGAAAATTTAAATTTCACGCCGCAGACTCTCTCGAATATGGTGGCGGATACGTGGGCGATCGTTCGCGAAGGTGCGCGCGTGTGCGCGCGACACACGGACGCGCGATGACGCGCGGTTGCGCACGTGTGTGCGCTCGCCGCGACCGTCGACAGTTATGTGTACGTGTTCATGCCTCGCGTTCCTGTTGATTTAATTACGACGATTGGCCTGACAAATCTAATTGACGTGCATCAATTATTTGGACCGCGTTCGAAGGCCGTTTAATTCCCCTATCCTCTTCCCGACGCGAGAACACGGTTTCCTGCTAATCTCATTTTTTTCAGGAACTCACTTTTTTTTTACGAAATTTCGTTGGCCATTCTGTCGTCGACTCGGTCGGCGTGTGTGTCAAGGCAGAGCCTCCATTTCAACTGATTCAGAGACAGTTCCGGAAATACAACACTATTAGAATCCGTTAACCGGTGAAGCAAAAATTGTAGAAACAAAAGATGAATTGTACGATCG